AACAACAACAACAACAACAACAACAACAACAACAACAACAACAACAACAACAACAACAACAACAACAAAGCCCTAAATCAAGAAGTTAGCAGCCACAAAAGCAAACTGAAATATCCGAAGTCTAAAAAAAAAGACAATCTTTCCATCTAGCCAGCGTCAGTGCGTGTGCTGCTTTACTGAGCCATTTCACAAGAGGCTCATAGCTGTCATAACCCATCTGAAGATGCTGGGGGGGGGGGGGGGGGGGCACTGGAGCCAGACATGACAGGAAGAACAACAAACTACAATTTTACAAAGACATCAGCCTGTCCTCATGCATGCCAGTAAATCCAGTTCATTTCCACTTGGGTCAAGAAGTTCTCAGATCAGAAAAAAAAAAGGAGGAAAAGGAGGGAGTGAAGCAGCTTCTTCCATCCAGATAAACAGCACTGACTCCTTCTACCAGCAAATTAAAACACACAAAGCAGCCAGTCAAATAAATAATCCTTAAGTTAAATCAAAACAGACCAAAACATCAGAACACTTGCAGGATAAAAGAATAATAAAAAAAAAAAAAAACATGTTAAAATTGTGCAGTAACTGCCCAATTAAGAACAGGCAGACCAAAGCAGACTGAAAAATAAGCCTCAAACAACTACTGTGCACAAACTACAAAGCTGCATCTTTAATGCTCGTGTGTGAATTTGTATGTTTTTAGTTTCGTGTAGGAGATACAAGAAGTTAAAAAGACTTCACTTACAGTTTCCATAAAAGAATATTTTAAACTTAAATATAAATGAAGTATCTGGGATCGGCTGTGCACTCTTTGCATTCCAGGGGGATTTTAGAAGAAGAAGAAAAAATCATCTTATAGCAGAGAGACACAATGGAAGCCAAACTTCCAGGTGTTTTGGTGAATAACTAGTTACTTTGATAAACGGCTGAAATGTTTAGGCATCAGTTGAACAAACCAATTGTGAAACTTGAACTGGGATTATGTAAAAAACTGTAAAGGACATCAAAATGCCAGTTCAGACACACAAAGTCCAACTTTCAGTGAGCGGATTAAGCTACAAATGGAGTCTCTGCTGTGAAGTTTGGATGAGCTGTGGAGCTCCAAACAGAGGCTCTCTCGTGTGTTTCACCAAAATCCCATTATTTTTTGCTCTGTTGTTTTTCTTGCAAATTTTACCTTCACTGTGTGACCTGGCCCTGCCAAAGGTCACAGCACGGTCTGGTGAAGTGAAAAATGTAATACGCCAAACTCCATCCCTGCTCTTATTTCACACTTCAGAGACAGACAGCTCATAAAAACAGAATAAAGAGAAAATATGTTGTTGTTGTTGTTTTCTTTTACCTGCATGTTTTTCAGCTTGTGATCCGACGTGTTGAACCTCTCACATTCCTCCATCCCTCTCCGGAGGAAGGCGTTCACCACAAAACTGTCTCCTGTGACATGAAGCACCGATCAGTGGGCACAGATCAATCGGGAACTTATTTGATTAGAACACCGATCGGCTTTAATCGCACAAAAAGAGCAGTTTGTCCTCACCTTCGGGGTTTTCTCTGCGCTTGCAGGCTTTATCGAGAAGAGGATGAAAACAAGCGGTAGTTAGTTTTGTTTTTAGACTATATTTACAAAAAAACTATCACATTAGGGCTTCCGACGTTTCTTACCGTGTTTGGATTGAAGTTTGCCCATTCTTCAGATCCTCTTCTTCTTCGGCTCTTTAATTAAGGTACTCCGAATTCCGTCCTGGAGGATAAAACAGTCCCAATCTACATGATGGTCACATCGTGTTTGTTCGGAAAGAAGAAAAAGTCCAAGTTGATCCAGAGAGGGCTCGTAAAACGCGTCTTCATTCACGCTTCGATGGTTATTAGTCGATTTGAGAAAAATAATCGGTCAAATGAACGATGAGGGAGGCGGGACGCACGAGCTCTCTGCCTTTGGATTTTACTACTGTGACGTGAGGCGCTTTAACGCAGAAAAAAAAAAAAACAACGAAGAAGAGTCAAGTTACCGGAAAGATGCAACACCTCTAGTATGTGGCTTTTCAAAATAAAACACGTGTAATGTAAAACGCTATGGTCGTAGTGATTGTACTTCATGTTTGTGGTACTTTGGGTTTTTTTTCTGCCAAAGAAAAACAAAATGTATACATGAAAATGTTTTTAAATTAAATTTTAGTGGTAAATAAACAAGACTGGGGATGATTTATTATTTTTTGTTTTACAATTCATAGTGGTCACTAAACGCTAAATATTAATAATTGTACTCTATTAATACCCAATGGGGAAATTAATTATCTGCATTTTTCCCATTGCACATGTGAGCACAAACATAAACGTAAACATAAATATAAATGTAAGAAGCATTGCGAACAAGTTGTATTTGCTTTGAATTTAGTAATTTGACATCTGAAATATTAATCTCAACTTTACAGTTTAATCCAGGGGTGTCAACCTCACTTACAAAAGGGGGCCATAATTAAAACTTGGTTCAAACTAAGGGCCAATTTCAAAAACTACATTAACTCAAGTCAGAAAACCAACATCTTCTCTTGGTCACATGTTCCTCAACAAGAGTTTGATTGATCACATTTGACGTTCTCTGTTGCACTTTCCACATCATAATCAAAGATTACTAAAATAATTCAAGTGATAAAAGTATTTTACGTTTGACATATCATCTTGGGGGCCAGAGAAAATGTCAACGAGGGTCACACTTGGCCCTGGGGGCTTGAGTTTAACACATGTGGTTTAATCCCTAAAACAAATCATTAAAATAACATCTAAACCTCAAAAAGATTCAAACTCAAAAATGTTGAACCTAAATAAATCCATGAATATTTTTAAACTAATTTATCACGAATAGCATATATATATATATATATATATATATATAT